AAATCAATTTGAACAGACTGGACAGTCCATATATTAAATTAGACCAATCCAAAATGGTCTAAAATATTCATCAGAATGAATTGGACCTGGTCTTCTATAGACTCATATTAGACCGGATCAGATTTAATCAAAAACTTATATATATAACATGTATGCTCATATTACAGATGTCGACATTGACTTCTGAGTCATTCACCCAGATCCCAAAAGTTTTCATATTTTGGGCCAAAATGAGAAATTTGTCCACACTAGGTAATAAGGTAAGACATTATAGATACGTGGCTAAAATTCTGGTAAGGGGGTGCTGTTCTGCTTGCACAATTCTGTTTTACAACTGACAATGCTTGATGCTTCCATGGCTGAACCTAAACCTAGGGGTGCTTAAAAAACCGAAAAAAAATTTGAAAAATCAAATCGAACCGAAAAAGTTAAATCAAATAACTAAATCATTCAAAAACCGAAACCGATCAATAGATTAACCGATGGTATTGATTCGGTTTCGATTTAGGAAATTGTAAAAATTGATGGTACCTGTTTGATTTTAAAAAAGACCCACCAGACCATGAACACCCCTAACCGAACCAAAAGCAATAAAACCGTTTCTATGCTTTGTTTTTTCATTTTTCCTTTCATATTTTGAAGCATTCCTTTTGCTAATGCAATGTGTGAGACCCGCTTGACAATGAAAATTAATTGCCATAAAAGAATGCACTTGTGATTTTTCTATTTTTGTCATTCGTGTGTTTTGTTTTGTGGGCATTTTGTAAGTCATTTATCAAATCGTCGTTACATTATTGTTAAATCAGCATTTAGCCCACTATGATAATCTGTATGTATAAATATTCACAAAAGTTGACTTTAATTTATGTGTACAACTACCGTTGGGGGAAATTTCATTTTAATAATTCCCCAACGGTCAATGCATTTATTCATTGTTCTGCTGATGTGATGCCTAATGACACCTACTGTCACCTATTTATCATAAACTGTTAACATTATTACTCTTTTCAGTTTTGAAGACAAATCAAATACAAATATTTAATTAATAAACAGAAATTCTCCCAAACACATACTCTATCAGCACCAGTATCGTGGGAATGGCACCCCACTGCAGCTCCTCCCTCTTTTCTCCACGATTTGGTAAGCCAGTATGATTCATCCGATTGCTCTTCTTTTATTATCTAACCAAGAGCAATTTGCATTACTTTAATGCCGCCTTTTGCTAATGCAATGTGTGAGACCCGCTTGACAATGAAAATTAATTGCCATAAATGAATGCACTTGTGATTTTTCTATTTGTGTCATTCTTGTGTTTTGTTTTGTGGGCGTTTTGTAAATCATTTATCAAATCATCGTTACATTATTGTCAAATCAGCATTTAGCCCACTATGATAATCTGTATGCATAAATACTCACAAAAGTTGACTTTAATTTATGTGTACACCTACCGTTGGGGGAAACTTCATTTTAATAATTCCCCAACGGTCATGCATTTATTCACTGTTTTACTGATGTGATGCCTAATGACACCTACTGTCACCTATTTATCATAAATGGTTGACATTATTACTCTTTTCAGTTTTGAAGACAAATCAAATACAAATATTTAATTAATAAACAGAAATTCTCCCAAACACATACTCTATCAGCGCCAGTTTCGTGGGAATGGCACCCCACTGCAGCTCCTCCCTCTTTTCTCCACGATTTGGTAAGCCAGTATGATTCATCCGATTGCTCTTCTTTTATTATCTAACCAAGAGCAATTTGCATTACTTTAATGCCGCCTATGGAGTCAAATGACAAATTGTTGACTAATTCCATTGGCGTTTTTTAAGAGCAACTGGTTTAATTTTGCAAGTGCCCATTTGAGAGGGTTTTCATACCTGACGGTGCAAGATATGACCAAGGTTCAAAATTTCAACATGTATTGAGTTGTATGAATTGATACATATCGTATCGATGGCCTCTCGATACATCCTTATAGGGAGTGTTTCAGAGTCTGACCTCGTTCAAGGGGTAGATGGGCCTTAACCCAATCCCTCCAAATCAGTTTGAAAAAAATTAATAAAAAAAATAAAAAGCGACCCAAGATACAAGCTGATATGCCCCAATCGGCATTTCAGCCTGTATCGATATTTTGAACCTTGACCAGGACTCACAAGGAAAGTTGTGAAGTTATATTTGGTGAAAAGCCCGGAAAGCCCAAAAACATTTACATTGAGCTGAGAAATGACTTTCCCCTGAAACTAGTTTTGGTAGTTTCTTCAAAGTGGCTTGGTCAATGCAACTTAGCTGAAGACCTCCCACATGGGAATTGGGATCTGCTCCTCACAAAGGACGCCTCACAACAACCTTATAGACACATCTCACTGTGTATTGGGAACATCTCCCATACCCCACATGGGCCCTAAAATAAGAGCACATTTAGCAATGCAAGCGTCCTTCCAAGCACCCCCTAGGGAAGGATGCATCGCTAGGCCTCAATGCAATCCTGATTAGTTATAATTACAAACTTCATGGAAAGTTCTTAGGAAATTTTGTAAATTCATTAACAATTTTTCCTCAGCTTTATCTCTCTCTAATTTTCTTTCAAACCAAACATAGCCTTCAAATATGTGAATTGGACCAGCAGATCAAGACGTGGAACCAAAATGAATTCTCAATGTTTTTTAAGACACCCTAAGTTTACTTCAAATGGAGGATGCACAGGTGGTGACCTTAAAATTTTATTAATTATTATCAAAAGGGAAAATAAATTATTAATTGATGGGATCTATTTAATTTGTTTGAAATTGCACCATACCAATAGACAAATAAGTTGAGATCTTCTGCCAATAAAACATGTTCCAACCCTCTATCAACTTGATCTAACACCGCACGTTTCACCATGAAATTGGAACACACAATAAAAATAGGACCCGCCATGTATGAGATGTGCAGTGTGAAATTATGTTAGTAGAGCCGTAGAGGGTTGAAACATGTTTTGTTTACAGGTGATCTGGACTCATAGATAGCCTTGTAGTCAACATTTTTATCTCTGAAAGACGGAAACTTGGGCCGAGAGGCTTCAAATGGATGCCACTTTCATGGGTTAATTAACACGTTTTAATCAGTTAATTAATTAAACAGCCTGTTTAATTAGGCTCAATCAAGATTTTATGCTTTAAAATATATATTATTTTCTACAATAAATGCAATAAGAAATTTAGAAAACTTAAAAGGTCCAGTCCTAAGTCCTAACGCTGTTGCCTTCAGTTAAACCATCTAGTTCAGTTCAAATGGATCAGTCCGTGATGTTTTAAAAATCAATGATGATTTTAAAACCTTGCCCAATAGGCATCTAAAATGGCCCCTGTTTTTTTCATTCTGAACGATTTATGGGGTAAAATTAGCCACATGGCTACATTGAGTCCTTTCCGGGGGCTTTGGTTTGATGGGTTTGGCTCGAAATACAATGTCGTAATTTGATAAGTTAAACCAGTAAAAGGTTCGGCCGGGCTCAGATTGGTCCAACTCAATTTGCAGCCGCAGTGAATAATATACGGTCATTCCATAGGACTCGTCTCATGGATGGTCTGGATTGGAAATTCCCCAGTCTGAGCCCAACACGAGCTCAATTCTGAATTTCTGATCGGGTGTTTTGATTTTTAGGGACAAAGTATAAGAAGCGAAGTTCAGATTGCCAAGCTCTGGTTGGTCCAACTCAATTTGCAGGGCCCGTCCAACGGATTGGCAAGCCCATATTATTCCTCCATGTGTACGAGTGATGACGATACAGTAGATCAACACGAGGAAGGTTCTTGTAGTCAGACAGGGCCCTTCAGGGTAGGGGTGTCAATTGGACAGGATTTGGTCCAATCCAATCCAGTCCAATGTGAGTCCATTATAAATGGATCAGATCCATTCCAACCCAATAAATGTTTTGGACCAATTTAGACCAGTCCAATTTAATGTCTGGACGGTCCAATCTATTCAAATTCATTTTGATTTAGATTGGTTTCAACCCAAACCCGGTCCAATCTATTCAAATTCATTTTGATTTAAATTGGTTTCAACCCAAACCTGGTCCATTGAGACATATTCTTATTTTATATCAATGGACCAGATATTGGCTTAATCCAACCCAATCCAATATAAATTTGTTACGAACGGACCAGGTCCACTCCAATCTAATAAATATTTTGGACCGGATTGGTCCAATAGAGCATCATTAGGTTGGTAAATGCCTATATATAGGTGGGACGGGTTTTTTTCTTGAATGATGAACCTTACAGGTACGGGTAGGTGCGGTATTAGGTTAATCTGATCATCCCCAAGGACCCCAACCCACATATTATTGGAAAGTATATAAAATTTATGTATTAGGTGTTGAATTTAATAATATTTTAAATTTTACGTGAATGATATTAATATTTTATGTATTTTTTACATAATTGAAAATTTTGTTATTTGTTCATATTTTTTTGTTTATTTATTACTTATATAACAAGAAATTTTAAAAAGTTAGATGCAAGTTGTAAAACCATCCTACTTTGAATGCAAAGAGGGTAGAGTCAGCAGTCAGGGAGGGTTTTGCCTTTTCATGTGCCGTAGCATTTGGATTCTCAAAATCTATCCTGCTACGGGTTTTGGAGCAGGTATGGTTGGGAGGTTTAAGGAGACAGGTAAAGTCTAGAATTTACAAAATCCTCCCCGTTGCCATCACTATCCAAGAGATGAGGAAGAAATAGTAAAAGGTCGGGAAAAGCCCAAAAAGTATTTGTCCAGTTAAATTCATAGGCTCTGGAGGTTGATATCAGTATACCAGTGAGAAATTCCATAAGAAATGGGAGACTGGGGCATGGGGTGTGAACATGAGGGCTACACAGCCATATAGAGTTGAGATTGAGCCAAACGACTCCACTCATCATACATAGCTTTGGATCTTCTAGAGACGACCCAATTAGGCTACCTTTTTCCCCAACACAAACACGCTAATTGCTGAAGAGAAACATGCAGGAGGCTGTAAGCAAAAATAATTAGCTCATTGCATATACAAAGCTTTATTGTATGTTACAAAGCTCTTTCTACTTATAGTATGTTACTTCCAGCTCGCGGTATATCATACCTGAAAAACAAAGCTTGGTCATCTACCGCAACTCAAATTTTCCAAACTATAGCTCAGGAAAAAGAATGAAAAGACCTAATTTCCCTTCAAACTATTCCCCTACCTTCTTTGCTCAAGCAAGTCTTAGCAGTGCCACTGTCATTAAAGTTGCAGCCCTGAAGAGAATTTCATTCATATTCCTGTCTACTCTCTTCATTATACCCTCCTCTTTCAACCCCAATTTGTGTGAGTTCTTGCTGATATATACAACTGTATCTCTCAGTCTGTTCACTGCCCAAGAAAGCCAAACCAGCGCAAAACCAAACCCAGTGTTCAATATCTTCGATGCACAGAAGGGCACTCTCCCTCCAACAACTTTACAGACAACAGAGAAGATAACAGCAAGACCAGTTCCAGCAATCCCAGCAGATAATTGGGTCAGAAGCTCGGCTAGTTCAGAGCCAGATTTCTTCAGTGACAGTATTGCCATCTTCCCTTGCCTTCTATTTAGGACAAGGGATAGAAGGATCTCACATGCATGGAAATGGTTTCTCCGGTAGAGATCACTCTTATTCCCTGCTTTTTTGCTTTGTTTCTTCCTTGGTGATGGCTTCATCTTGATTTTCTCAGGGCTGAGATCATTTTAGAGAGCCGGAAAATGATGAGGAAAATTTAACACAATATTAACCAAAAAGTGAAGCATATTTTATTCCCACATGAACTACATGTGACAAATAGAAATCTTGGTTCCAAGAAGATTTAGAGTTGATCTTATTAGGGAGCATGAGATAAATTCACGCATGAAGACATAAAAGCTAGCAATGTAAATGGTGGAAATTTTCAAATTAAAACAACTAACAAAAGGGTGGAGAGGAATTCTCATTCCCCAAGCCAAGAGGCTCACAGATTTAACAGGTTGGGTTCATCAATCAGTAAACCTCACATGAAATACACAGCAACAGATTAATTGATGATATCATGTGTATGGACAAGACAAAAGGATTATCAAGTTATGATCTGAGGTGCTTGCCATTTAGTGAAAACTTAAAACCCAGTAAAGATCACCTAAAAGGGAAAGCTCATCTAGTTCCTGCCATGGAAGGCAAAGAAGTAAAGACATGGGTTCCATAATTCTCCAATCTTTTTCCTTTCCCTTGGTCATCATAAAATCATAACTTGAATCAAAGAACAGAGTAGAAAATTCAAAATCTAAAACCTGGGATAAGTACATGGATTAGCATAGGCATTATTAGAAAGATGAAGCTTCTTTCAAGATTATATGTACCACACATTACAGTCCAAACATAACAAGTTCAAATTTCAAATTGCTATGAAGCTAGTTCCCCAAAGAAAGGAGAGCTGGATTCAAATAAATTTTGGTTAGGTTGTCAAGAAAATGCTAGAGACCAAGGTTTTTAAAACCGGACTGGACAGGGACCCATTCTGGGGTCCATTTCCCAGGTCAAACGGTCTGACCGTCCGGTCCGAATGGACGGCCCGCTCTGACAGAAAATATAACAAAATTTATAGAAGGCCAAAAACCATTGTCCAGGTCGGCGGTTCGACCACCCGGGTCAGCAGTTCGCTGACCAAATCAACGGTTTTTGGCCAAAAAGCGGTTTTGGGGTAAAACGGAACCGGTCAGGTGACCGGTTCCCAGTTTTCTGGTCCAGCCATCCGGTCCGGTTTTGAAAACCATGCTAGAGACCATCAACCTAATGTGAGTAATATTCTCAGTATGACTACTAAAACTAGAATTGACTGTTGTAACTACAAGAAGTCAAAAACATATGGGATTTTTCACATTAAAATTTGTACTAACAATGAAAATCATAATTCCAATTAAACAGTGAGTGCAACAAGAAATAAAATTCAGTGACACAGTCTTCAATGAAATATACCTCTTTAGAGGAGCAACCGTCACTGTTTCTAGCTTCAATGGAGACCCATGGATACTAGTCTTTGTTTCACTCCTTTCCAGTCTGACAATAAAATGATGATGTTAAGTCAGTACAGAAACTGGCAGTAAGTATTTATAGTGGTGCTCATTGTGAACAAAACTAACTGCAAGCATTAACAATAGAAAGTTCCATTAATTCTGGGAGCATTTACAGAACACACACATGTAAACTATGACTTCTATAAAACAACAAAAAGAACTTCTAACATTAGGCAATTCAGTAGAGAATTAGAGATAGAGTTCCAAGAACACCCCTATTTAATGTGTTTCTACTAGATCTCTTCTATAAACCTGAGATCCCATATCAAATTATTCAAACTATAAGATCTATTGAACACATTTACACAGTCAGGAAAATACAGTCTGTGGTCTAGAAATACTGCAAGGATAAGAGCATCCAATTCCTAACCTAGAAAATCTCCATACCAAGAACGATTAAAAGGTGTATTCCAGCACCCATGACTTGACTGATGCATTGGAAAAACAGGGTGTGAGTAGAGAAAGGTTGTATTCAGCACAATTGTAATGTACAACTTGAGTTGTAACAACATTGTAAATATTCCAAATTTTCTTGTTATTCAATAAAAGTTTTTAATTATCCATCACTATATATATAAATATATAAATATATATATATAGCATGTATGTAATGATAAAGCAGGAGCCCCAAATTAACCAGTACAGAGAAAACCTTACACACCAATAGAATACTTAGAAAGTTAGTACAAAAGAACTGACAAAACCAGCACACAATTGCTAATCCAGCCTGATACATATAGAAATCAAGTATAACATTGAGCCCCTGGGCCAGGAACCCAACAGCACAAGTGGATGCTCGTCTCTTATCATAACAGCATAGTTCCTGAGGCAGAATTTGTATATGATGACACTGACAGCATTTGATGGCACCAGTTGACTGTAAGAATACAAGAAGATTACGAAGACAACTAGAACCACAGATGCTGAAACCGATTAACAGACCTCTACAGTTAAATTTGAGACATACGGCTATTCCACAATCCCCAGAGAGGGTTGAGGCAGACTCAGTGAACCTGTTGTTCTCAGGAGGTACAAAACAAACTGGATCCCTACAGTTACATCATGAAAATGTTGACATCAACACCTTTTTAGGAATAACTGAACATTTATTAAATATTAATAAATAATAAAGAATCAGTTACAATCAGAACTAACACCACACACTTAGGCTACTAAATCGGCCACCTAACCCCACCCTTAAATTTCTATGATTTTCACCATTCAAATCCCTTAGCTGACATCAAAACGGTTGACTCCTGTTTACACCTGGTCTAGGTAAACCATCAGTCATATAATTGGCTGATTTATGTATCCACGCACAGCTACTGATTCTTTCCCTACCTAATTCCTGGATTTCCTTCGTCATGTTCCAATATTTCCATGGCACCTTAGGGTCCGTTTGGTTAACAGTTTGAATCAGAATCGGAATCAGAATGGTCTATTCCCATAGTCTGTTTGGTCCAGACAGGAATTGGAATGGGAATTGGAATCATCTGGAATGGGATTTCATTCCCAAGGGAGGGGGAGGGAATGGCCATTCCCTCAAATGGGGGAATGTCATTCCACTAGGAATGGGAATGGGATTCCAGCTCCACCCAACCAAACAGTTGGAATCAGAATGACCCATTCCAATTCCAATTCCAGACCCCTATTCCCACAAAGCAAACGGGCCCTTAGTTTATTTCTTTAACCACCCTAGAATCCCCCTCCACAAGGTTTCTGATGTTCAAGGACCTAGCCAATCTTAATCCCTGAAGCATAACATTCAGTTCTCCTTTTAGAATACCCATACCCAATGGGACCTGAACATAAAACAAAGTATTGCTCCATCTTTTCTGAAGGGGGAGCAGACTCAAGCTCTGTAACTATACTTTTTTATCATTCAAATACATGATTCTCAGTGACAGTTACATTCAGATGCAAGTATTGCGGAACAGGTTAATGCAACTCCAAGAAGGAATGGCCTTCAAGAGAAAAAAGAAATTCACAAATAGATAGTCCAATGGTTGCTAAGTTTCACATTGAAGTATCACAATAAATGAACTGTCAAGAATCATTACAAGAAAATGGCAATTGACCAAGATAAATACACCCATCAAAATCAAACTTACTCTTATGATGGTCCACCAAATCATCATCAAGACCAATCAAACAGTGGACCAAGTCCCAAATTGTCAATGAGTACAGCCCAAAAATTGAACCAACTGGAAGATCTCAATCATCAAATCTAGAACTAAATGGGCATACAAAAGATAAAACTAGATTGATGGCAAAAGATCCATGCATTAAATGGACAAGATGTTCAATCAATCAGAATTGAACCTCCAGAACCATACTCAATCCAAGAGGGGACAAACTGATCTAAAGGACAAAATCCATAGGGCTGCAAATAGAAGGATCAAATCAGATATACCTAGATGTAAAATAAATTTTCTAATATTCAGATTTAATGGAATCTTATCCATCAGATTCAGGTTGAATTCAGATATTAAATAGCATTATTAAACTAAAAATGATCAGAATATTATATATTAATAAAATGAACTAAAATGACCAGTAATAATTGTATGTAATGAATAGAACAAATTGAAAATAACTTATATGAAACTTCTTGTCTTCTTGAATCTATGATTCTTTAGTAAAGATATAACATTGATACAACATCCAAATCAACTTTCCTAATAGATAAAATGTAAATTTTAAGTGGATATAAGCATATATATTTAAATATTATCAGATCAGATCATGTCAGACCAAATAGGGGTGGATCCATATTTAATCCAATCATAAACGGTTGAACTCAGATCATCATTTGAATTTGAATTTGAACAAACAGTTATCATTTGCATCTTTTAAAATCCACAAGTTGGTGGACAATCCAAAATAGTATTCAATGGATGTCATCATTGACAAGTATGATGCAAAGAGTTGCAAGTTGCACAAGCTTCAAAATTGTCATCCTATGCATACAAAAGTAGCCAAGAATTATGATCCTTGCGCTATGGGGGATTTTAACCAGCATGAATGGACAAATACCTAGTAAAGTGTGGTACAAGCAGTGGTAGTTTCCTCTGTTCAGTCAAGTTCTTTGACATGTAAAACTCTGCAACAATAGAAAGTAAATCCTTCATCTCAGTTCCGCTGCCTGTAAGCAAGACTTTGCCATCAGGGTTAACAGTAATTTTTGAACTATGGGTTAAATCCCCCATGAAGTCCAAGAGAGGCTTCTGGAATTCCTTGCTTGGGTGTACAAGGAAAGGCTGAACAGAATCAGACCCAACCTCATATAGACAAAAATCACCATCTGAAGAACCAACTCGATGTGGGAGTGATTGCAAGTCAATTGCCATTTGAAGCCCCATCAAATCAGATAATAGGGCAAGATCTAGTCCATCTGTCTCTGCTTCGCTTGACCCAGATGAGAGGAACTGCAATATCTTTTCATGTCTTGTGCATTGTTCAGCAATCCCAAAGCTAAAGAGTACTGAGTGAGGGCGACTGTCTGCTAACAAATAGAAGGGGTTAAACATGACTATAAAAGCATTTATATAACGCAACATCAAATAAACCCAATAGAGAAGCACAATGTCATTAAAATATTAATTATGATAATTGTTAAATATATGTATGTGTTTGTGAAAGAAAGAGTTCACAGTATTTTCAACTCTTAAAAAAGATAGGGACGATGAGCTTTGAACCTTGCACATCAACAAGCACAGGCCTCCTAATACTTAAATCAAGCTTTTCAGATTGGTTAGACTCAGAGAACCAGCTTGCCGGCTTCCATGGATCCTCAGGCTGAATTGGTCTTGTATGAACGCAGACATGTCTTGTTCCAGGACTTGGTATAAAAGGTTGAAACTCCTGCACCGACCAAAGATGGAAAAAGTTTATTATTGGCAGATGGGGGAAATGACAAGCAAACCCCATATAGATGGGATTGAGGTTTAGTAGAAAGATCTGATACAATATTTAAGGAGATAAGCATCACCCCAATAGGGAACTGTGGAACTGAGTAACCAAACAATTGCACTTGAAAACCGTAACCCAGAGAGAGAGAGAATAAGATGATTAATTAAAGTAGAAAAAAAAAATGATATATGAAAGATAAGTATCTCAGGAGACAAAAGTAGGAAAAAAACGGTGAGGACAGCAGAGAAGCTAATATTCCTGCGTACATCAAGAGTTACTAATACAGAACTGCTAAAAAAAATTGCAGATAGGAAATAACGTTGATAACAAATAATAAGAACTCTGCTAACTAATAAACATAGAAGATTATCAACCTTGCATATCAGGTGGGACTAGAATTCCTCTATTCACACAGCAATGGAGGCAACAAAATCTGCAATCTTTCGAAATCTGACAAATACCTAAACACTGTAAGATTCCCAACACAAACACTCAGTAAATAATGAATCTAAAGCCAACCTGTCAATTATATACCTAAACATAGCCAAGAAATCCCCATAAGACAAATAAAAATAGAAAAAAAAAAGTAAAAACCAGTAACAGATCAATACAGAATTCAAACCAGAATCATAATCATGCAAATCAGCACAAACTCTAAAGAAAGGGAACAAAGAAATACAAAAAGGAAAAACCAATACACCCATCAATAGTTCAAAGGCAAAAGCTCAACAATCCAATAAACAGGAATTTGAACCACAACATTAAGCAACAACCACAAATGGTTAAAACTCATACAAATCAACAAAACAACTAATCGAATCGACGCATTCAACGGAGCTAGTCACCTTCGAAACCCTGCACAATCCCTGTTCTTGGTGAAACAGTCCAGGAGGGTAAATGGAAGACGCCATGAGACAAAGCTCAGCCATGTCTGAGAGAAATCTACCCGGTTCAGAAAATGAATTTCTGATCCGAATTCTATCCTCTTTTTATAGGAGTTCAGAAAACTATATGAATTTATCCATCCTCAAGCCCTCTAAAACCAGAATTATTACAGGTTTTAGAGTTTGAGTGGCAACCAAAAAGACTCGAAAATTCAGAATTTGGGTTTTGTGGGTTCGATCGTTAAGTTTCTGGACGAACCAATCTGTGGTCGCAACTCCCTCAGTCATACAGGTTGGATATGAATCTGGACAAGCCGTCACCTTTCTTCTTCTTTGTACTTTTCCGAGATTGTTTCTTATTTTAGGATAAATGATGCATAGGTACCCTTAGGTTTTAGTCAAATGGCGAAACCCCCCCTCAGCTTTACCCCATTTACTTTTTCACCCTTTATCATTTTGTTGTTTTTTGATAAATTTTTTAAACTAACCTTAACTGACTAAGTAAACCCCTACTATTTCGGAAAATTACCAAGTGTCGTTAAATACTGATGGAAGGGGTGAAATGTCCATTTTGCCGTTAAGTTCAATTTACGTGTGATCACCATCGTCAGAGCATCATCGCCTTCGCCTACGACATTTATCGTTGCAATTTCTAGACGACGGTGCGACAGTGAGAAGAAAAAGCCAGTAGAGGAGAAGAAGGTCGAGAAGGCCCCTATTTCAAGCTTCCCAAGATCGGCAGAAAAAGGTTGGAGATCTCCGAGTTCCAAAACTTTCGAATCTCTCTCTCTCTCTCTCTCCCTCCCCTTCTTCTTCTTCCTCTCTTCCCCCTGCCTATGTCATTCTCAGGCCGCCTATTCTCAAGGTTGAATGTTCGAAACCCAAGAACAATGTCGCCCCTTTTAGCACCATCTCGTTGGGTAGCTCAAGTGTGGAGTATACTTTTAGCGCAGGCACCAACATCCGTCTTGAAGTTGTCGACGTAGACAAGGGCTTCACTCTCAGCTCCTCTAGCTCTCTCTGTTCACGAGAACACCTGCCCGTCGGCATCCACCTCTGCTCTCTATTCTTCCTCTCATTTATCTTCTTATGAGGCAAAACTACTACGAGGCTCACCTAAATTCTAAAAAAAAATGAAGGCCGTTAGAATTGAAAAGAATAGAGAGAGAAGCCTTCCTGTGGCAAGGCCTCAAGAAGTGACTTGGCTGCATTTTTTGCATATGCCATGGGGCTTTTTCAGTGGGGTTCTAGAAGGGGAATTGAGCGGCGGTGATCTTCTTCTTCCTCCGCCTCCCTTCCCCTCTTCATTCTCCCTCTCCACCTTCATAGATCAGTTGAAAGTTGAAACCCTATTTTCGTTCAAAGAAAACCTATTTTCTTTGTTGACGAGAATCGTAGGGGATGTAGCAGTGGTTGAAGAGAGGTGGATTAAAAGGGGTGCCCTCACGCGCCCAAACCCCCAGGTCAGATGACTTCTCCTATCCTCCCTGACGATGGCACCACCAACACCAACTCCCCCAAACCTATGCCACCAGCTTCGGCCTCATGATCACCAGCTTCAAAGTTCAACAATGGCATGACCGGCTTTGGGGTCCAAAGAGTGTGTCTTGGCCTGAAGCTATGGTGAACCTGAAAATCAGCACCCCTACATTTCAGACGACCAACACCGGCATCGAGGGTGAAGACAAGGGTATCATTATCATTTTTTCAAAATATAACACACACCAGAACCCTCCTAACAATAGGGAATAATTAGTCAATTGTTAAAGATAGAGTTGGTCAATTAGCTAAACAATTTTCCCTTGTTTTTTTAGCCCATACAATGTGACTATGTAAGGGATTGAATATAAATTTGGATATGTTTGGACTTGCAATTTGGAGTTTTTGACTTTTGACATCAATTTGGATCAAGCCAGGGTCCATGTTTAGGGTCGGTCTTGGATTGGCCTTTCAACCCGACCCAACCCATTTAAAGAGGAAAATGAGGGATTTAACAAGAGAGAAATGTTGCAAATATTGACTATTAGAGAGAGATTAAAAATAATTAAATTAGAGATTAAAAAATCAAAACCTTAGAGGTGCTTTATTATGACTTCTTATATTTTTAATAATTTCATTAAAAACAAATAATTACATGTATTAAAAATGAGAGGAGGTGGTGGTCTTTGTGAGCATTAAGGTGAGAGGACTATTAGCCTCCCTCTTTGCTCCTTTTTTTTTTTTTTTTGGTATTGATTACTTGCCTTTGGGAACTGCAATTCAATTCTCCTTGGCATATACAATACTTTTTCTAGCAATATTAATAACTCTTCACAAAGGTGGTGAGAGCCAATAGCTAAGCTCGAAACTGCATTTCGTCTGAATTACCCGGTTTATGTACCAACCAAGCCACCACTCAAATGTTATAGTTATACATGAGGAATATCTTCTATACTTGTATGTCATGGGGAGATGTTTTCAATGCACAATCAGATGTTATGTGAGATGGGTTTGAGGAGCATATCCCATTTTCCCTCTTTCATTTATCTATACTATTAAAATAGATACTTTCCTTGGTTTTGATGCAGTCATAAATTGTAGAATGTCAACTTTATCTTTATCCTAGTCTACACAATATAAATGGATATGGATAAAAAATATATGATGAAACAATTTTTTTTTATAATATAAAGGTGAAATTTCCAAAAAAAAAGATGAAAACAAAATTTTGAAAAAAATAAAATAAAATTTTTAGATGATAAAACTGTATTTGATGTTTATATATAAATATATTTCTATTATCAAAGGTATTTTAGTAAAATACCTACTTTATTTTAACAATGTGCTTTTAATAAAACCCCTCTCTAGTTTCATGGACGAGGGGGTTATATGTAAATAGGTAAACCCAAAGGGATGTCTCAGTATTTGATCGAAACGTAAGGGAGGTATAAATAATCTACCTATTTTTTATTCCTTTCTTTCTCGACCAAAAAAATAATTATTCGTTTCTTTTATGATAATTCTCTGAAGGGGAGATTTTTGTATGAATAACATACTTAGAAACTTGATGTACCAACCATTCCGCTCCGCTCATCCTAGTTGATTGTAAAACCGAATATCTTTAGTCGATGGGCCATGTTGGAGATGATGAATGGATGAAAACCTTTACAAACCTTACTCCGAAAAATCTATGAATCCTTTGACCAATCAAATCTCCCTTGAATTTTGATGAAAATCCACATTAATTGCCACTTTTACGATGTCGGGTGATTGATTATAATCATAATGCAAAATTTTATATAAAAAAGCCTAATGTTCAGCATGTCTTAGCTATATATATATATATACAAGTAAATTCAGTCATCGAGTTTCGAGCGGTAGACGAAGACCTTGGGGCCTCAGAAGAGGTTGACCGAAGCCGAGGATATTAAATCAAGGTGAAGTATTCCTTCCGAGGACTATGGTAGTCGAGGATTGTCGAGGCGAAGTCCCTAGTGATCTGGGATATTGTAAGGTAGGGAGTGTCAGAGACCTCGGGGTAGATACCCAAGGCGGAGGCTCTGACGCTCAAGTTGGTACGAGGTGTGAAGCAGGGAGGAGTACAAAAGTGTTCTTGGAGAGAGTCTTTGGATGCACCAGATTTCCCTGAATTAATGCTAGGTAGATAACGTAGGTGCATGAAGTAAATGAGTGAGTGATGTGTGAGTTACTCCGTTCCCGCCCCTTATAAGGGGCAGTTACCTCTTATTTATACTTGAGCATGCTGATGGTAGGTGAAGATGAACACATCGGATGAGAGCCATACGAGGTCAGGCTGCAAGCCCTAACGGTATGCCAGATAGTTATGTGATTGGCTCCGTACGAAGGCAGTAGGGCTCCCTCCTACTGTCGCTAACGTTAACAGACGTTAGTGGGCTAGGCCTCCCAGCCCTATGTGGGCTGGGCCAATCTAACCCCCATCACTTTCCCCCCACTCCTGAGACCAAGGTGAGGCCCCGGCTTTTGCCCGTAATGAGGGTAATAATCGAAGTGAGGTTTCAGCTTCAGTCATTGGGAGTAGTGGTCATTATGCCTTCGGATTCGTCAACAGAGGGATGTCATGCAGTGGTGTCACCTTCATCGTTCGCACCGCCACTCTTCGGTTCAGAAGCGCGAGCGATGATGATGCCTCGGCTTGGCGGGGGTGTCCCGTATCTCGCACGGGCAGGTCATGCTAGCGGGGCTACCATGCAGGGGACGGCCATCCCAAGAATCCTGTGCTTGCCGGGTTGAACGGTCCGCCTGGCGGTCTGTGATGAGTGGGCCTTTTGGTTCGTTCGACGGGTTGCCATGGGCGATCTTCGCAGTCCACCCAATGTCATTTCGCCTTCCAAAGGCATGCACTAGGAGGTGCGGTGAGACTAGTTCGCAGGAGCGGAGGGCTCCCGCATCCGTTGGATCCGCGCCAATCTGAACCGTTGCTTTGAGTGTCGTTTCGTCTTCCAAGGGCCTGCACTAGGTGGCGCATCACAATTGGATGGTAGGAGCGGATTAGTTTCAGCCACCGGATTTAAAGAAATCCAGGCCATTCATTTTCCTTTAAATAGGGGCCCTAGCAGTGACTTTCTTCTCCATTTGAACCAATACGCCCTTGCTCTTGAATGAACGCAACTCCCCAACTCTCAAGTCTCCAGAACTTTTTTATTTCTTCCCTTCTTCAGGACATTCCACCCTCTTTTAGGTAATCTTAACATGTCGTTTTCAAACTCTGGTCCCGAGTGCCATGAACTCCCAAACATCTTGGGAGGGTGCTCTCCTGCAACCCCCTCTCCCTTGTCTTCTCTAGGTTCTTTAGTTGTAGTCCCCCATCGATAGGAGGTGGTCGTTTTGAGGGAGAGGTTAGCCTTGGGGGGTGCCGAGGGCAGTCACCGAGGAAATGACTCTCCCCATCAAAGCGCCGCCTCGGTGTTCCCGAGGGAGCCTCTCTCCGAGGGTGATGCAGTGGAACTCGTCGCCGAACCAGTAGGATGGAGTGTTGCCCTAAGGGTGGCTGGTGCTGGTGTCCCACGTTCGGAGTTTGACAGCTCCTTGGATGTGTGCTAGGTCAAATCCTTGGCGAAAGGTTCCATATACCTCAGTCTTACAGTCTGAGGGTCCCCGACATGGGCGATACGCCGTGGGCCCCCAAGGAGGGGGAAATTTGTATTAACCAACATTTTTTGGAGCCTAGCCTTAGGTTTCCCCTCCCAACCATGATCTCCGAGCTGCTAGAGTGGTACGACATCACTATCTGCCAGCTCATGCCCAACGCCCTCCGAAC